GAAGGGGACTCTGCCTACTTGTTCTTGGAGACATTGTTGAAAGAGAAGAGTGTTGCCTGAGTAAGGAGTTGTAGGGGGGGGGGTCACGAAAGTCGGTCCCATTTGGCTGGGGTAAATAGAGTATTTAAAATATTGGTAGAGTTGTGGATGGTAGAAGGACGAGGACGTGTGGTAGAGGGAGTATTATTGAGGGGGTAGTATTCCGGAGATGGAGAATAAGGATGTAAGATAGTAATAAAGGAAGATGAGGTGATTGGTGAAGAAAACTGTGGGGTTAGAATTGATCAAACTGAAAACAGTTGGGAGAGTAGGAGTAGGCATTGATGAGTGGGTAGTAGTTGTAGTGTTCAGAGTTCGAATCGGTGGGGCTATTTGATGAAGGGGCAAGCTTCATTGCCTCGTAATATGGGCATTACTTCTTTCTTACTGGTCATGGGAAGTCTTGGCTATGTTGGGATATAAACAGTCTACCCCTCAGGATCCCCTTGAGGGGTAAGGGCCAAACACAAAACAGGGGAATACCGTGCACATGGTTCCCCCAGGCCGTTCAGGACTGGCACAAGGTCAGCCTTTCATCCTTTCAGCACGGCTCTTACACTTTAGGAAGTAGACAGTAGGAGATGAAGGGACGGAAACAGAAAGCTGGAGGGGGAAAAGACCATGCAAAATTAGTTGAGTCGAGGGCTGAGGCCCTAGGCAAGGGAGATCCCTGCATTGGGTCTCAGTCTCCGTCTCCTAAGCCTCCCACGACAACAACGGGCAAGGGATTGGGGGGTCTTGGTATTAGAGAGGTACTGTATAATTTATGTTAATATTTTCCCTTATACAGTGAATATCACCCGATGTAAATCAATACCTACATTTACTGCTTTCAGCGTTACTAATGACCAAGCGCTTTAAACCACATAAATCCACATAAAGTACTTAAAGCATGTGACTTAAACGCTCCAATACGTGAATTACATAAGGAAAATTCCTCCATGAGCGGTGTCCTCAGTTAGACGGAAAATAGAACCTCTTTAATTGGTTGTCTTCCTTATATCCACATCGCAATCCACTTTCCCGTTTCAGCAGCGGTAACAGACCCTTCCCCCTCAGCATTTTAGCTCAAAACATTCATAAACGTCAGTAGTGTAAATTTGAACGAAAAACGAGCACTGGCACCTCGCATCAGTTATCGTATGAAGAAAGGGGGAGACTAGATTACCCCCTGAATTAACTTTATATCCTTTTAATCCTTTAATGGATATTTTATTCTGTTGCAGCACTTAGGCAAGCTGATTGTGAACATTTTCTCTTAGGCATTTTGATTGTGGATATTTTGTTAACATGTGTTCATTTTTTAGTGGTCTCTCATGTCTACCATTGTTAAGATTTACAAAGTGATGGTAACTCTATCTAGGATTTTGCACTGGGTTTATTTTATTTGATCCGCTAGTACTTTTAAAGCACTCAATCGAGATCTTGTCATTCAGCTCAACTTCAAATATACCTTGGAAATATTCAATGCAGATATTGTGGATAATGGAAACAAGATTTCAGAAAGAAAAAAAATGTAACTTACGAAGTTGTTTGAATATTTAGGATGTTGGCAAACATTTTCAATCTGATGCAGCATGCGTTACGACAATCAATAGTTAAAATAATATTATATGTCCCTTTGAATTTAATGGTTACTTGATTTTTTCCGACATATGTAAACATGAAATGAATGCAATGTATATAAAATGTATCCGTCAACAAATGGATTGTTTATGATATTCTTTCATCTTATTTGAACATTTCATCAGGGAGGTCGCTTTATTTACCGTAAACTATAATCCATTTTTTAAAATGGATTCAATAAATTATGTTGTTTGTCAACGTTTTATTCTTATATTTCTCCTTGTTACTGTGCATTACTTTTTCTCTGATGTGATAAACTGTCGTTCTCGCAAGGCCATGTTTTATATTTAAAGCTTGAAGGAAATGGGAGTAGCAATATAGGCACTCAGTGAGTCCTGGAGTTTGGTACGCAGGACCAATTGTGCAGCAAATTCCTCCAGTTCAGATTCTTTTCTGGATTACAGAATGCACTATATATGTTGGCTCTGGATTAGGAGTTGGACGTTGGACATTATTATTAATGGTGTGTTGGTAAAACTGAGTGAAATTACAAGAAATAGTCACCATACCTTTTTTCACATTATTTACAGACCTTCTTTAAATAATTAATTCTTTTTTCATACAACTCCTTTAAAAATGCATCCGTTCTCTCGGTCCTTGAACAAGTCTGGGCAGCTATGTGTTCTGCTGTGACCTTCTCCCCGAACTTTGCATGGCAGACGTCAATGTCCGATTCTTCCACCATACACTGTCTCACGTTCAGACTCTCGCGACGGGCCTCAGCCAGGGTGTGGTAGTGCCGCTGGTAGTAAAATATGGCTCCAAATAGATGCCAGATTGTCACCTCTGGCCACAACACCTTTGTAAAGAACAGGCAGGAAAAGCCGCTCTGCCA